CTACTTCAAAGCACGGTGGTAGAATGGTCATTATTCCTCAATTCAGGAATTTTGTACAGATGCATTTTTGCATTTATAATCTCACTGCAACAATTGGAACTATGTACTGTCAGTATATATGCATGCACATGTACAAATATACAGACATGGGGACATTGGAGCATACTATTTTTCTCATCTTAAGCAGAAGCTAGGCATATATTAGAAATAAATATTGACAAGACATGGGCTAGCCCATTTAGGCAGGGGTGGGATTCAAATTTTTTAACAACCAGTTCTGTGGGCGTGGCTTAGGTGGTGGGCATGGCTTGGTGGTCATGTGACTGGGTGGACATGGTCATGTTATTCGCTGAGTGTGGCCAAGTCAATATCACTCACATCGAGGCACGCATCTCCTCGCCTGGCCTCTCATGACTGTGGGGATGTTGCAACAGCCATAAATGTGAAAAATTGTCATAAGTCACTTTTTTCAGTGCCATTGTAACTTTGAATGGTCACTCCACACAAGCAAAGTACCAGCAAAGAAGGGGAAAAAAACTCCAGAGATGTTCCTGAGACAGGAAGTCTAGTCCTGCCAAGAATGTAATAAGGGTTAACGGAGAGGCAGTTTCTGTAAGCAATACCAGAATGTTTCCTTCCTGCCTTCCTTACAGGATTAGGCCAGTAATTTCTTCTAACAACCAGTTCTCCAAACTGCTTAGAATATTAACAACCGGTTCTAGCGAATAGGTGCGAACTGGTAGAATCCCACCCCTGCATTTAGGTCTCTTCAAACTTTTAAGGTTCTTTGTTTTTAAATATTCTTATAAAATAGTATTATTATTTTTTTAGAACTTTAAAAAAAAGCTTTGGAAAACAATATCTGGAACTTTTATTCACTAAGGTTTATGTATAACAAAGTATCATTAGGCTTATGAAAAATCTGTTCCATTAAAGAAAAGTATTTTGTAGCTGGAAATATGTTTGATCTCAAATTTTCCAAACCATGTTGTTATAATATCATATTTGAAGACATAGAAGATCTCAGGATAGGACTATATATCCAGGTAGATTTTTTTCTATGATGGGAAGACGCTAGTAATTGCTTATACTTTTTATTACTCTTCTTTAAAATTAATAGGTAACATATATTCATTGACAAATAACAGAGTTACTGGTAGATATTTATAAAGATCTGTTCCTACAGTGCGTTCTTCTGATTTACTCAGCAAATCTATATCCATTTAACTGGGACTTAACCCCTATTGATCTCATGACAAGGTTTTTAATATGTTTTCTTTTTATTCCTGGAGAATCCTGGCCATGTGAATCAGCTTCATGGTAACAGATCTACTTCCATCTGCCCTCATCCCTCTGAAAAAAGAAGTTTTTGGTATAATATGCTTTGCTAGCATACATAATTCTTCTCCTGCAATTTTTTTCTTTTTCTTTTTCTATTTCAGGTACCGGAGATGTATAAATTGTGCATTTTTTTTCTTTAATTCTTCCTGTCTTTGATATTTATGTATTTATATTCATATTTTAACCATAATCTTGGAGCCGTACTTTAACCTATATGCCAGTTAGACGTTCATGTGATGATTGCTCTCTATTTGATACAAATGCCACCAGACACCTGGTTCGTACTATCATATGTGGTGGACATGCCAAAAAGTGAAAAAAATATTGGATAAAAATACATACATGACTGGAAAAATGATAAAACAGCATATTGATTTGAAACCAGAGATATTCTTGTTTGGCATTTTACCGGATAAGTATGATAAAGGGAATTCATATTTGATTTTCGTGTACTGACTGCAGCTATAATTGTATTTCCAAAACAATGGAAAAGTGAAGAGATCCCAACATTATCTGGGGGGATTATTACTGAAATATGAACCCATTGTTTTCTAGAGACTGGACACTAAAGCATACACTGAACAGTTACGACAACTGGGTATGTCTAGTCTAACAAAGAAAAGAACTAGGGATTATGATAGTAATCTTCAAATATTTGAGGGGCTATCACAGAGAAGAGGGGGTCAAATCTATTCTCCAAAGTAGCTGAGGGCAGGATAAGAAGTAACAGATGGAAGCTTATCAAAGAGAGATGCAACTTAGAATTAAGGACACTTTTCCAATTAGTGAGAACGATTAACCAGTGTAACAGCTCCAGAAGTTGTGGGTCGTCCATTACTGAAGGTTTTTTCAGAAGACATTGGACATTTGTCTAAAATGGTATAGGGTCTCCTGCTTGAGCAGGGGGTTGGACTAGAGGACCTCCAAGATCCCTTCCAACTCTGTAATTCTATTATTCCGTTATTTGAAACAACACACTGTGCATAAGAGAAGTAAAGTGAAGTCATTGAAATAAAATAAGCACTAAGGGTTTGTAACTCTGATTGCATTTTGAAAGCATTTTTAGTTTTAATGGTGTTTTGAAATGACTTAGATTTCTAGTTTGACTTTTGGATTATCTGAACTTCAAATAACTGCTTTTAGACTTTTTGAACTCATGAGACTTCCTTGAAATATCTGTTTCTTTCAGAGAACTGTAGCCCCAAATCTCTTTAGGTTACAGCTGTTAACAACTATCTGTGCTTCAGATAATCTCCTATAATGTCAGAACAAAAAAACAACAACACCAAATTAACATTTTGTTTCTTAGTCAAAAAACAACAACAACCTAAAAACCTGCTGGGTACATTTTCTCCTGTTGCTGCTCTTGTTTGTGTTATTATTATTATTAGATGGTACAACTTTTGCTCCCTGTCAGAACAAAAGGTCTTTCTGTTTTGAAAGCATTAGGAGTTTTGATAATTTAACATAGGTTACCATATACTTATTCTCTTGTTACATTCCAACAGGTCCTCTGAAATCTGTACTCTTGAAAACAGATTTGAGAGGGAAGCCCTGTGGTTAAGTCTCAATCATATGACTGTGTTAATATTTTCAATTACAGTCTACTCAGTTACAGTTCCTCTCTTGGAATGATACGGGTCCCATGCAGTGATAATACTAATATAAACGTACTCAACAGAAAGAGCAGAAAAGGGGGATTTGTTTTTTTTTAAAGGAAGGTTTTTGTTTTTTTATTCAGTAGTTGATAAAAGATCAGGCTAGGGAGAAACATTCTGTTTTATCTATTGAAAAGTAAAAGATGAATGCACATAAGAATCAAATATATACCTGCAACGTGTGTGGTCCTTGATCTTCTCTGAGCTTGCTTGTTTTCTTGCAGATGTTTCATTACCTAAACTAGGTAACATCATCAGTACTAGTCAGGAGTGCAGTTTGGTGTCTTGCCTGTCTTTGTGGGTGAGGGTAGTCTTAGAGATTCTTTGGTTGGGTTTACTGATGGCTCTTTGGCAGTTTCTTGATTGGAGTATTGCCTACTTGATCGTTGGTCTGAAGTTAACCTTGAAGTTAATCTATGTTGATTTGAGTGTTCATTACTGGTGGAGAGGTGCTCGAGTCAGAGGTGGTATTCAGCAGGTTCTGACCAGTTGTGGAGAACAGTAGTGGAAATTTTAAATAGTTCATAGAACCAGCAAATACCACTTCTGACTGGCCCCGCCTCCATCTATTCTCTGCCTCCCGAATTCCAGCTGATCAGCTAGGTCTTCTTTTGTTGCCCTGCACAGGAGAACGGAGCTGGAAAGCAGGTTAGTGGGGTGGGGAGGGAATGGGATTTTGCAGTAACCTTCCTCTGCCACGCCCGCCAAGCCATGCCCACAGAACCAGTAGTAAAAAAATTTGAATCCCACCACTGTCTGGAGTCCTTTTCTCTTTGGGGCTGATTGATTATCTCTCTTTCATAGTCTATAGATGTTATTGATGTCTATGTGTCTACTGATGGGTGTTTTGTCAGAGTGTCAGGCTTCTAGAAATTTCTTGGCATTTTTGACTTGACCTGGTCTAATTTTGTCACATTTTCCCAATTGAAACTATGATTAAATCTGCCTATATGTTGTGAAATTAAAGAATTTTCATCATGTCTTCTGACTATCTTTGCATGAAGATAAGGATCAGCGTTTATATATGTCATCTCCCAGCACAATTGCTTGTCCAGCAGCATCAAATATGTCTGTGTGTATGTCAGAATAGTCAGGATGGCAGCTGTGGCACATCAAAGCTCTCCCCTTTTCTATATATATAACAACACTTGTACACTAGGCACGGGGATTTTATTGTATGATCACAGCAGTGGTGGGATTCAGATTTTTTTTTGCTACCAGTTCTATGGGCATAGCTTGGTAGGCATGGTAGGGGTACAGGGATACTGTAAAATCTCCATTCCCACCTATTCCTGGGGGAAGGTTACTGCAAATTCCCATTCCCTCCCCACCCCACTAACCTGCTTTGCAACTCTGTTCTCCTATGCAGGGCAACCAAAGAAGACCCAGCCAATCAGCTGGGACTCAGAAGGCAGAGAATATATGGGGGCAGGGCCAGTCAGAGGGGGGAATTTGCCAGTTCTCCAAACTACTCAAAATTTCCACTACCGGTTCTCCAGAACTGGTCAGAACCTGCTGAATACCACCTCTGGATCACGGGATCCCCATTATCTTATTCCAAAGATTGGCATTGAGTTGTCTCAAATGCTTTTTTTTTTTCCTACTTGAAAGAATAGTCACAAAGAGCACTTTCCATGCAGCATCTGGAACTCACATATTTTTTTGCCTACCCATCTCTGGACAATAGGAGATTAAAAACTTTGTCTTTGGGTTAATTGATGCTTGCCTGGCTTCCAAACTCAATGTTGTATGATTTATTGAAAAAAAAAGAACAACTTCAAATCATAATGACAATTTCAACATTATAATTAAAATTAGCCAGAGATTACCATTTGGCCACAGTGTCTAAGTATGTTTCTTCTTTCTCCCTAGAGATATGATAGTGAAGAAGAGGGATGGCAAAGAATCACACCTGCACACATACTGAATCAAAATATACACTAGAGAATGCATGAAGTGCAAACTGATTTTTTGTCTCTTCTTCTCTTTCCTTTTGAACAGCACGCATTATTAAAACAAAACAATGGTGTGAAATGCTTCCATGTTTAGAAGGAGAAGGCTGTGATTTGCTAATCAATAGATCAGGCTGGACCTGTACACAACCTGGTGGGAGAATAAAGACAACCACGGTGAGTTTTCTTGCTTCTTGCAATCCTTTGGGTAGAATAAGTGATCTATTGGGTGTGAAAAAGCAACAAAAAGTAAAAGGTTAAACTGCTTCAGAATAAAACATAATTAATACCATAATACAATCATAGCCATAATTCTCTTACTTAGATATCCTTGATTGCGATCTGACTCACTATGCATGGTGGAGAAAATTATTTATTTGATACTATAAGTGGTGGTAATCAGCTCAGAATCACAGAAAATTCAAATTGTGGCAGCAGGAATTATGTACAACTTAAAACCTTGAGAGTAAATGACACCAAATTTCCAGGAACAGTTGCTCAATGATTGTGTCTAGAGGCTGCCTTCTCTGTAAAGTGAATTGTTTCTTAAGATAGCACCAGCGATTTATTTGATACTATTTATTACCAGTTTATTTTTTTATTAGTAACTAGAGATAAAAAAAAAAATCATTCCAATAAGAATGTTTCTCAAAACTTTCGACATTTAGCAAAGACAAATTTGTTCTGCTGGTTTCTGCTCTTTTAATTGTTGACATATTTAATTAAATGTTTAACAAGCTTTCATTATGGTTTTGATATTTTTATTTTTATTACAAATTGTTTGGGGTGCCATCTGATAGACAATACAAAAAATATATAAACATAAAAAGGGAATGTATGCGGTATAAGTATTAGATCAAGAAAGACATTTTTAGGAAATACATGCTGTAGTATCAAAGGTAGTAGAAATCATGTTCTGAATAAAAGAACTGACAGTCATTTAACTGTCTTTATACTCTTTTCAACATGAATGTGTCTGTCAGTTGGATAGGTATTCAGTCTAAGCAGTCTACAAAATTTAGCATCTCAAAAACAGAACAATTTTCATTATCAAACTGGGAAGTCTATTTGGCATGTATATTCTTTGATTCTAACTGCCTGTATTTCTGGTCCAATTGCTTTCCATGTCACATGTTGTCATAAAACTAGTCAAAAAACCTTCCAGTATCTCAATTATGTGAAGAAAAATCCAAACTCCAGTCTATTTGTGACAGACAAATTAAACACAATAAAAGTATCTAGGACTCAACTTTGCATGTTCAATTCAGAATTTGGGAGCAATCCTTCTCCTTTCCTGGATACTTTGGTGAAAAGCCATATCCATGTTCACAGTATGATTCTACAGAAAAACTTATTTTTTTAATGTGATTAAACTGGAATTCCGTGGCTAGGCAGGGAGAAAGTTTGTTCATATTGGAGTTTTTTCACACATGAAGAACAGACTATTATTATTATTTAGTAGTGTATTATTTTTTTAACAAATAACCAACATTGTTTTAATCAATTGGGACCAGGAAGAAGTTTGTACTGTGTAAATAAAAGTTTTAAAAACCTATTGGATTTGGTTTATTTGTTGATAAGCATGATCAAATTTGCAAATTGTCATTATAAACTATATGAAAGAAATGTGTGATTTAAACAAAACTGTGGCAGGAAGTGAAATAGGCTTATCTATTTGATGAGGCTTACATCTGAATTATAGTGGCAATAGTTATCTTAATTTTTATAGCTTAGTGTTACTATAAAAAAATCAAAATTTTAACATCTGGTTATAAATATCATTGCAAAAGGCATGACATAATTTTTCTTTTTTAAATATTGTGATTAATTTTGTCCCCCTTCTATAGAGCTAAAAAAAGCTCTCTATAATATTTTACATAGGAATAGTAAAAATACACAAGTGCTTAACTGTGATTTACATGAGCAACAAGAAAATAGAGGAGAAAAACAAGGGAAATCCAGACACCTGTTCTTAAAATTATAGCAAAAGCATATGACTATTTGGAACAGAAAAAGTTCAAGGAATGGAGATGCCAAATGTGATTGGCTTCTCTGAAGAGCTGTTGAAGTAACTCTTGTTTTCCATCTCCTCAGCATATCGGAATGGGCTGTTCCCAGGTAAATAAGTCTCAAGGAAATTAGCTTTGCTTCTCATCTCTGCAACCATATGGCCCAACATTGAAGTGCCATTATTCAAGATTGAATTTAATTCGTTATTTATGAGCATTCTTCTTCAGAGCAAATGTTAATTTCTTATAAAGGCTATGGAAATTGTGATTTAAAAAATGTACCCAACTTCAATATATCTAGGGGTTTTTTATTTACTTTCACACATAATTTTAAAGAACTATTAAAACCATGTTCATGCTCATTTATTTTATATGTAACACATGAAAAAGAATTGGAAATGATTCCATCCAATGTCAGGTTTTCATTCTCTTGAACAATAATTGAACGGCAAACATTTTTATACCTCTTATTGAAGTAAAAGCCTGCTGTCATTTTGATTTTTGGATTAAAAGATAGCTGGCTAATCTACCCCTTCTGTCAAAGTGTTTTGGTGATGTACAGATAGATGAGAATTGTCTGAGTTGAATGCAGTTTGCTTCCAAATATTAGTTGTAGAGGAGTGCCTGGTTGCAAGGCATTGATTGAAAATTGTAAGAAATTGTTGATTTATGTATAATGCTTTCATCCAGGAGGAGATAGAACAGCTTCACTTTGATAATTTGTATATCTATGCAAATTTGTGTCTGTTTTCATCAGTAACTTATGTTTAGTGAATTTAACTTAGAACATGCAAAAGTAGATATTTTTTCTTCTATTGAAGTTACAAGGAGAAATAATTTCAACTCCAGGATGCTGTATATATTATCAATCCTGCATAACTATTTAATTGTTATGTCGTTATTTCATCATTTTACATGAGGATGTTTCAAGCCATTGAACCTATTAGCTCGTCATGAGGATGTCTGTGGAGATTCTCAGTCATCCAGATCATGGTTGTCCCAAAGGTACTTTTTTCAAGAGGCAACTGGACTTTCTGGTTTTTCTTTTTGAAGGACATTTCGCTTCTCATCCAATGGATGGTCCTTCCATTCCCCACCATCCAGTCAGAGCTGAAGAAGCTTCTTGGATGAGAAGCAAAATGTCGTCAAAGAAAAACCAGAAAATCCAGTTGTCTCCTGGAAAAAAAAGCACCTTTGGGACTCCTCATGAGGAGTTGGTAGCATCCTTTCTGGTTAACTAATTCATTAAAAGGCATAAATTTTTATAAACTGTAGTGAGTTAGAGTTCATAAAAACTTGCACCATTTTATAAAATGTATTAATTTTATAGTAGTTATTTATTTACTTAGCATATGGTATTGATACGTGAAAGCCAGAAGTCTACAATGTTATTATAGCTTTGGCTTCCTAAAGTTACTAATTTGTTCAGTTTGCATGCTATCCAAGGTGCACCGGAAGGGGTGAACTAGCTCAAAACACAGAGCAACTAATAGCATTCTGCGGGAGTCTCAGTATTTATTTATTTATTTATTTATTTGATTTGCCAATTGTTTACAAAATAATAAGTATAAGTGTATACATAGTTATGAATACATGAAATGGGTACATATAAGAAAAATAAAAGAATAAGAGAAACAATAGGACAGGGACGGTAGGCACGTTGGTGCGCTTATGCACGCCCCCTACAGACCTCTTAGGAAAGGGCTGAGGTCAATAGTAGACAGTCTAAGGTTAAAGTTTTTGGGGTTTGGGGAAGAAACTACAGAGTCGGGTAGAGTATTCCAGACATTGACCACTCTATTGCTGAAGTTGTATTTCCTGCAATCAAGTTTGGTGCGGTTTACTTTGAGTTTGCATCTATTGTGTGCTCTTGTGTTGTTATGGTTGAAGCTGAAGTATTCACTGACAGGTAGGACATTGCAATGTATGATTTTATATACCATGCTTAAGTCAGACCGAAGACGGCGTAATTCAAGGTTTTCTAAAAAGATCTTGACTATGTATCAGAATGGTCAAACAAATGGCAACTTCAAATCTCAACAAATAAATGCTCTGTCTTACATATTGGCAAAAAAAATCAGAAAATAAAATACAAGCTGAATAGTCAAGAACTTGTTGATGACCCAAGCTCTGTAAAGGACCTTGGAATACTCATCGGGGCTTTCTTCACCACCAATTTTCACTTTGCTTTTGGGCCAGTTCAGTTTTGGTTGGTTTTTTGCTTCCACTATTAGTCTTACCAAAGTGGTACCTACTTGCATTTGCATGCTTTCAAACTGTTGGCTGGCAGAAGCTGATCCGATTGCTGGGAGCTCACTCCATCATATGGTGCTAGGGCTCAAATAGCTAGAATGCGGAGAGCTGACCTTCTCCAGCTGACAAATCCAGCATGTTTAAGGCACTGAGTCACCTTGCCTCTTTATTATAAATTATAATTTAGCATAATAATTAAACCAATCAATTTTTATTATGGTCACAGGTCAGCATTACAAATAAAAGCATTAAAAACAATAATAAAAAAGCAGGCAAAATAATATATTATGATTAGTGGTGGGTTATCAGTGGGCGCCTAATTTTGTATACAGTGTAACAGAATTTCACCACGTTCAGATAAAGTACTTCATATTGATCTGATAATAGAAATTGTACACAGAAGAGATCAATATTTCCTGGGTATTTTATTAGGTGAGGTATTATAAGGTGAGTCCATGAGCTCTTATAGAAGATACAGTTATGACACAGGGGTGTCAAACTGGCAACCGGTGAGCCCGATGATTCACACACAGACCACACCTACCTTAGCTCCGCAAAGGGGGGAAACATTGTGATACATCATGTGATGGCAACGTGACGCTGCGAGTTTGACACCTGTGGTATAACAGGACATGAGTTGAGGTTTCAATTGCCTCTTGTCTATAGGGAAATTATTAATCTGAAAAAGTATTACCAGATTTCCTGATTTTTGGCTACCATACTTAACAGAGTTCTGAAATCCCTCAACAATTAACTTTTTAAAACTTCTGTGATTTTATTGCTAAATTTTCTGAAATAAGAAATTAAGGAGCATGAAGAAACTAAAAGATATCTTATAGTAGATAAACAATATAATTATTTCAGCATAGAACAGGACTTTGCTAGTAAAACATACTAAAAATGTAAAAATATACA